CAATCATATCTCCACTTCCCAAATTGTCCATTTTTATATTATTTATATTATATATATTATATTATATTATATCTATATATATATATAATATATTATTATATATTATAATAATCGTATCCACTCTTCCGAAATTGTCCATTTTTATATTATATATATTATATTATATTATTATTTATATTATATATATTATATTATATCTATATATATATTATAATATAATATATTAATATATTATATATTTTATATTATAATAATATCGTATATAATCGTATTATAATAATCGTTTTTATAATAATCGTATCCACTCTTCCCAAATTGTCCACTTTTATGGACAATGCGAGCGTCAATTAATTATTGCAAATTACTGTAATCTTCGCCGTCGCGAATCGACTGCTCGCCGTCGCGAATCGGCGGAGTAGGAAAAAAGCGCGTCGTTCGTCAGACAGCGTGACGCAATTGTTTATTGCTGACAGCTATATGACACCCGCGCGGCGTCAATGGCCAGCAACGATAAGTCGTATGACGTCGGCGCGGCGGCGCCTTCGGTAGTAACGATACTCGGAATTAGGCTGTCGGAACGAAAACTCGTCAATGAAAATGTTCTCCGATATTGCGAATCGAATGGACGGCTTTTAATAATGGGTAGTTCAATTAGTTTCGCGCGGATCTTTAATTTAATTTCACACTCGTCGGCGGCTGGGAATAATAGTTTTATCATCGGACCACGGATTTTGTATTTTAACATTGAACCTATCGAGCACTGATACATTTTCATTACATTTAATTGCATTTAATTGCATTTTAATTTTACACTAATTCAATCACACGTTATAATAAAACTGGTAAGGTGTCTAAATATATTCAATCTTATAGAATATATATATTCATTATATATATATATATATATATATATATATATATATATATATATATATATATATATATANATATATATATATATATATATATATATATATATATATATATATATATATATATATATTATAATATATGGTTTCCTATGAAAATAAAACTATAATATCAGAAATGTATAAATAAAAAATATGGAACCGATCATCTTGATCGGCATGGTAGCTTTTGCGTTAAGAAATAAATTTTTATCTAACTCCTATTATTTAAGAGCATGAAAATTCGAGGTCTACGTGTTGTTAGCCTGCGGATTTTATGCATTCTTGAGATAAAATTGAACGTAATGAGAATATTCAAAGAATGTAAGAATGTTGATATAATAACTTCATCTTGTTAAAATAATTTAAAAAAGAAAGAAAGTTGCAGGTGGTTTCTGTGTCTTGCGATTTGCGCAGGCGACGTTTGTTGTCTTCAATCTAATTACATAGTATTATTAAATTAAATTAAATAGTATTAAATAGTACTATTAATATATAAATGGTATTATATAATAAATAATATATAATAATAAATAGTAATAAATAAAATAGTAATAAATATTATTAAATAAAATAATAATAAATAGTGTTAAATTAAATAGTAATAAATAGTATTAAATTCAATAATAATAATAAGTAGTAGAATAAATAATAAACAGTATTAAATTAAATAATAAATAGTGTTAAATTAAATAATAATAAATAGTATTAAATTAAATAATAAACAATATTAAATTAAATAATACTATTATTAAATTGCTCCTGCCGAATGAATAATAATATAGTCTCCCCTCTCTCTCTTTGCGCGAAGTTACAACGTGAAAAATAAGAAGATTGGTCAAATCGAAAAAACTAAAGTAACTGTGTAAGCGAAACGAAAATCCATTTTGCAAGCTCCTCGGCCGCCGTTCGCATTTGCCACCGGGTAATGTCAAGATATGAGCCGTTTATTTTGAAAGTGGCATAAGTCACTTTGTTTTTAAGTCGATATAATATCGACTTAAATATATTCTATTTAAGGGTTTGCGTTTTAACACGTTTAAAAATATGGATGCTAACTTTCGAGAAGATTTATTTGTATTTGTTATCTCAGGATACCGATATTTTTCTCAGTATAAATAATTTCGTATGAACATTAAAAAATCACCACTTTTCATTACGGTAAAGTGACTTATGCCACTTTCAAAATAAACGGCTCATATGCTGATCTCCGTTCGAGTCACGAGACTTTTGTCCGCGGAAGCATCTTCGTTATAGTTGCGATCTTCGCGAATACGGTTCACATTGATGATTCTCTCTCTCTCTCTCTCTCTCTCTCTCTCTCTCTCTTATGTTTATTTATTTCTTCTCTATATTCTCAATATTCAAATATACCACTTGCATTATATTTAGCATAAATAATAATTAATTTTAGAATAAATGGTCCCAATTACGATTTTATGGTCCCTTTCTTCAATTCGTTGAAGCATTTTTATATAAAATGGTTTTGAAAAATTGACAATCTTCACATCTTCAATAATGTTTAAGTCAGGAGAACTCTACTCTCCAAACTATAATCACTAGCATTTCGTAACCGTATCGATTGTGACATTCCTGGTTCTTACGCTGTTCGGAATTTTCTATTATTTTGATTTATTATACTTAGTCTTATTTTTATTTACTGATTAAGTTGACTGCCACTTGTATTATATATTTAGCATAAATAATACTTTATTTTAGAATAAATGGTCCCAATTACGATTTTATAGTCCCTTTCTCCAATTCGTTGAAGCTATTACATCGTCTCGCATTTTCGTATAAAACAGTCTTGACAAATTGACAATCTTCACATTTTCAATAATGTTTAAGTCAGGAGAACTCTACTCTCCAAACTATTATCACTAGCATTTCGTAACCGTATCGATTGTGACATTTCTGTGATTCTTACTTTCTCTCTCTCTCTCTCTCTCTCTCTCTCTCTCTCTCTCTGGGAGGCGAAAGAAGCGCGACGAACAATGGGCCGAAATTTCGCGGGGTTGGCCATTATGCGGCCAGGGCGGCGGTCGAAAATTTCTGATAGCCGATACGGATGAAAGGAGCGCGGCGATGGCGTCGGCGGCGGCGCGGCGTCCCATTGTTCTTTCCTTTATCTCGCCGGCATGAAAATTCCCTGGCGCGCACGCGATCGCGTCATCATGCCCGTGACTTTGATCGGATGTAACACGAGGGGAGGGATACAATGAGCATGGGCCACGAAAAAGAAAAAAGAAAGAAAGAGAGAGAAAAAAAAAAGAGGTCCACCCTTCGTAGCTTCTACAACGAGTTACGTCCGCAGGCAGATGCCCTCGACCACCCCATAGTCATATGCCGGCGTAGAGCAGAGGCCGCGCCGTATGGTTTCCCGTGGGAAACATCATAGAGGCGTGTATCGATCCCGGTGTAAAAGCGTCGTGTTCGTTGCGCGGCCATTCTCGGCCGCGTTCCGACGCGATTGCGAATTCAAAGTCACGAACGGTGACCAATTCGTGATTTGTGCGGCCATCGTTTATCCATCCGTTGCAACAACTACGAGGACGACGAATCTTCGAACTCGGTAAAATCGCCGTGAAACTCGATCTGATTTCGTATGAAAAAAGAATAATCAAATGGCACCACCTCTTTATTACCCCTCGTTAGAATTTTTATTTCCACGCAGCCCGGAGATAATTGTCGGCTGCGAACGCGAACGCTCGCTTCTGAAAATGTATATCGAGCGGTGCCAAAATATGATTAATTACCGTTGATTAGTCGACAATGTATCATACGCGAGATTTCATCGCGCTCACGGATCCGTCCGTCGAACGTGTTCATCGAACCGAGAAGCGGCAAATTAACGAGCCAAATTTTATACATCGTCTTCTCGTAGCCTCCTCTCTCGATTTATCGATCGCGTTTCAACGATCTTGATTCCCGTACGGGAGAGCGAGCACCACCTGCCTCCACGAACGAGGTCGTCCATCGAAGGAGTGTTATGCATACTCGGTAGGGTAATAATTTTCGAAATGGCACGCTTCGTGCATGTTTCACTTACTCGTGTTACCAAAACCTATATATTCCCGAAGCCACGTATAATCTACAAAGTACGAGTTTGTAAGGACCCGCCGGAAGGAACAGGTGCCATTTTTTGTTACAATATCGCCACTGTTATAGAGTAACGCAGTAATGCCTCCCTAGCTGACGCTCAGATTCTGCGCGAAAATGGACGATCTGGGAAGAGGAGACACGATTATTCGAGCTCTGTAGCTCGAAATATTATAATAATATAATAATAATATACAATATATAATATAATATATAATAATATAAGAATAATCGTATCTCCTCTTCCCAATTTGTCCATTTTTGTGCGCAATCTGAGCGTCAATTAGGGAGACATTACTGTATTTTGTCTCGCGACGGGTATACAGGATATGATCCAAAATTATAATACTTCCTAGGGAAATTAGAGATTACTGTGATCATTCGAAGCAACTTTTTCCTTTACAAAAATTTTCTCCGTGGCATCGTTAACGAGTTATTAACGAAAAACAGTGACCATTGAAGGTCAATTGTCGCTCAGATTTTCCATAAAAGTGGACAATTTGGGAAGAGGAGATACGATTATTCGAGGCTTGAGGTTCGTTTTCATAATTGTCAATAACTATAAAAACAAGCCGCAAAGCTCGAATAATCGTATCTCCTCTTCCGAAATTGTCCATCTTTGCGCACAATCTGAGCGTCAATTAGGGGGACATTACTGTAACTGCAACTGGAAGCAATAAAAAGATTGAAAGCCCATATTACTGCGATATGTATTATTTGCAACGAATTTACATTGTTAAAGAAAGGATGATATCTCCAAGTGACTTCCGTCTTTTGCAATAGCAGCAGACAATTTTTATTTCGCACAAAGATCCGCAGTCCACCGATGACGAAGCGATGCGCGCGAATTTTCGTAAGCGAAAATGTCCGAGCAGCGTGGAAAACGCTGCGTTGCGGGCCTGGTACAGTAATGTCTCTCCAATTGACGCTCAGTTTGTCCACGAAAATGGACAATTTGGGAAGAGGAGATACGATTGTTCGAGCCTTGCGGTGCGTTTTTATAGTTTCGAATTGTCAACAACTATAAGAAAACGAGACGCGAGGTTCGAACAATCGTATCTCCTCTTCTCAAATTGTCCATTTTTGTGTGCAATTTGAGTGTCAATTAGGAAGAATTTACTGTATTTGGAATAATTTTAAACTATAAAAACGAACCGCAAGGCTCGAACAATCGCGTCTCCTCTTCTCAAATTTTGCATTTTTGTTTCCAAGCCGGGCGTCGATTAGGAAGAATTTGCTGTATAGTAATGTCTCCCTAACTGACGCTCAGATTTTGCACAAAAATGGACAATTTTGGAAGATGAGATACGATTATTCGAGCCTTGCAGCTCGTTTTTATAATCGTTGGCATAATTCGTTGACTATAAAAATAAATCGCAAAGCTCGAATAATTGCATCTGCTCTTCCCAAATTGTCCATTTTTCTGCGCAATCTCAGCGTCGATAAGGGAGACAATTCGAAATTATAAAAACGAACCGCAAGGCTCGAACAATCGTATCTCCTCTTTCCAAATTGTCCACTTT